TCGGACAGACGAGTTATCCCCCAGCCCCTGCTCCCGGGACACCCCCGGCCACGGGGCTCCTGCCCTGGGTGCTCAGAGAACCGCCCGGATGTGTGGGAGGAGGAGGGGCATGGACAGCAGTCCCTGCAGCCAGTCGAGGGCAAGGCGGAGGGAAAGGGAAAAGGGGGGAAGAGCGCAGGGAAGCACCGGGCTGGTGGCGGCACACAGGGGGACGGGACGGGGTGTTCTGGCTCTGCTCCCGCTTCCTCAGAGAGACCTCGACCCTCAAGCTTTGTGCTACCGGGGAAGTGACAAGTGTTTCAAGGCAAGGAGACGACAGGGACGAGTGGAAAAGCTGGGGGGAGAGGGTGCCCCATTCCTCTGCACAGAGGCCTCTGTCACAGCCCCGCCTCGGGAGCGGCCAGCCTCCGGGCCGAGGCTCCCTGCCGTGTGCCCGTTCCTCCTCTGGTACTGGCCAGCCTGGCGGGACATGTTCCTCGGCAGAAGTCCCGGGGAAGGAGGAGGAGGAAGGACAGCGGAGCGAGGCCAGCGCCGGCCCTGCCTGCCGAGTCAGGTGGGAGGCAGCGGCAGGACACGCAGGGCAAGGGGGGGAGCTGGAGGAGGGGCTCTCCGAGAGGGGCGGGATGGGCTCTTTTCCTTCTCCTCAGTCTGCCCTGGGGAGGGTCTCTAGCTGATTTTTTGGATCAGCTTCTCATCGGACAGGCAGTAGAGGCTGTTGATGGACAGGTCCGAGATGAAGTGCTCACAGGCTTTGCGGGTGATCTGTTTGCAACCCCGCAGGTCGATGAGGGTGACGTTGGAGATGCGGCGCAGGTACAGCAAGGCCTGGTCCGTCAGCTTATTGCAGCCTGCGGGCAGAGAGCACAGGGAGCATGAGGGGGACACCTCCAGCAGCAGCACCATGAGGAGGAGGAATGGGAAACCCAGGGGGCACCTGGAGCAGGGCACGCACCTGCCATGTTGAGCTCGGTGAGGGAGTTGCGTGTGGAGGAGCCCACGGCGGTGAGGAGGTTGGCCGACTGGTCCGTGAGGTGGTTGCAGTGGCTGAGGTCGAGGCGGGAGAGCAGGGGCATATGGCGGATGATCAGGCGCAGCGTGGCGTCCGTGATGTCCAGCCCGGCGAGCCGGAAGTCGATCATGTTGCGGAGTTTGCTGCGATTGTCCTGACCTGCACGGGCACAGGGAGAACCAGAGTGGACAGGCTGCCCTGGGGACCCCACCTTGCCCAGCCCAGGCAGCCCCAGGGCAGCAGCAGCTTACTGGGTTTGTCTGTTGGAGGCGTGAGTAAGTCCCGGATCTGAGGGTCCTTGATTCCTACTGCCCACCGAAGATCGAGGGTCCTGAGAAGGGGGCAGCTGGAAGTACTGAGGGCACAGACCGCAGACCAGGAACAGCCCGCTAGGATGAGGTCTTTCAGGCCTGGCACAAGGGAGGCAGGTAACAAGTTAGACAGGTTTGGTAGGCTCCCAGGCATCCCAGATCTCACCCATCTTTTTCCAGGCACATGAGGACGCAGGTGCCCTCCCTGCCTGGGGTGGGACACTTGCTGGGTGATGGGAGCCAGCCCTCAAGAAGCCTTGGAGCAGGCTGGTGGCAGAGGAAGGGACCCCTCCCCAGCCCACACTCACCTGGCAGCCTGTTGACGAGCCATGTAAGCTGTTTTTTTGAGATATTGGTCCAGCTGAGGTCAAGGCTGACCGGCTGCCTTTTGATGATGCCGCTCAGCGCCTGCGGGGTGATGGACTTGCACCTGCTCAAGTCTATCTTTGTCCACAATCTCTTGTCACAGCACCTGGGGACAAGGACAAAGCTGAAAGTTGAGTCCCAAGAGTCCCATAGGATAATAGACAGCCAGCAGGTTGCCTGGCTCCCAGAAGGCACCCGGCCCTGGTTGTTCCTCCTGGTTCCCATGGCTTTCCCCAAACATGGGAGGCTGCTGAAGGTGTTGGGCCACCCAGCACAGCCCCAGCAGGGTTTTGCTGCTCCAAAATAAAACTCCAAGTTGCAGCTGCAGGCTTGCTTTCCCTCATCTGGGTGTTTCTCCTGATCTTAAGGATCTTTACTCCCAGCAGGCAGAACACTGTGTGTCCCACCCCACAGCCCCAGCGGAGCTCGCTCCTTTGCCAGGAGCAAACTCTTCCTCTCCCATGGGAGTTTGTGGAGAGCCGGGACCCGATGGCAGCTTAGCTGAGTCCCTGAAGGTGCAGGCCAGGGGACACTCCTCCACCACACCACTGCCACCAGCTGCTGATCAAAGCAGGCAGTCCCTGCTGCTCAGCTGTTAGAAACCTCCCAGTTTCCATTGCTGTCTGTTCCCAAGCCCTCCATGCACAGCTGTCCTGGTGCCAGCATTGTCTTCTTTGGGCCTGCTGTCCCCCGAGGCGTTTCCAGCCAGCAAAGCCATCCCGCCTGCCTCAGCCTGCCTTCCCTGCCTGCTGGGAGGAGAGGCAGCAAGGGAGGCCAGGAAGTGCAAGCACCATCAGCATGATGGGTGAGGGAAGGGCACTAGCATCCCACAAGGACACGGCAGGGGACAGCTGAGGGGACAGGAGGAACGCAGAAGGCAACAACAGAGATGGGCACACACATGGCAGAGGCAGCAGGGCTGGCTACTATGACACTGCCTGGCTCTGGGAGCGACAGGAGGGCACTGAGGTGACATCCTTCCCTCTGCTCCCTCTGGGTGTCCGCCACAGATGTACTCCCAGCCCCACGACGCGTCCCCACACTCACCACTTGTACCAGGTCTTGCACACCCGCATGCACTCGCAGAGCTCCCTGCGGGTGAGGTAGCGGAACACGGACATCCAGACCTCGCGCTGCACGCAGCTCTCCTCGCCCTCCTGCGCCCGGCCCCCGCGCCCGTTCAGCCGCGCCGCCCCCCCCTCCTCCACGTTCTCATCCTCCTCCTCCTCTTCCTCCTCCTCTTCCTCGGCGGCCGCCTCGTCATCGCCCCCGCTCCGCAGGGGCATCCTGGCGGGCGCGTGGCGCACCACCACGCGCGGAGAGTGCTGCAGGTTGGCCGAGGAGGCCGTGATGGCTTGGAGCTTGGGGACAATCGAAGTGCCGTGGACATCTTTGGTGGGGCGCTGGAGTGTCACGGTGAGGTAGGAGCCGTGCAGCTTGGCCTTCTCCACCTCTGACAGCTCCTTCTTGCCGCTGGGGTTGTTCTCCTTCTCCCGCACCATGGTTCTCTCCGTGGCCTGGAGCCGCAGCAGCTGCCGGCGCTTGAAGCGCTCGTCCCGGCTGGCGCTGTGGTGCTCGCTGGGCCCGGCGCCCGGGGACGAGCGTGTCACCACGCCGCGGGGGGACGCGGGGTCGTGGATCAGCTGCAGCATCGGGGTGGGCGAGTTGGGCGGGGGGGTCAGGGGCTCCTCGCAGCTCCGCAGGGGCCGCAGCACCTTGGCTTGCGCCGTGTCATCATCGCTCTCCTCCACCTTCCGCTTCTGCGAGGAATGGGGGCGGCTGGTTAGCGGGAATGAGGCCTGGGGAAGGCTTTTCCTTCTCTTCTTCCCCAGGGAAACACCACAGTGCTGGCAGAATGTGCACCAGCAGTGCCCAGTGAAATCACAGAATGGTTTGGGTTAGGTAGGGACATCTTCCACTAGATCAGGTTGCTCCAAGCCAAATCCAACCTGGCCTTGAACACTTCCAGGGATGGGGAATCCACAGTTTCTTTGCTTAATCTCTGCCAGGGTTTCACCACCCTCAGAGTAAGTAATTTCTTTCCCACAGCTCATCTAAGTACCACGAGGACCAGAGTCCACCCACACCAGCAACAAGCATTCTCCTAACCCCTTCTCAAAAGGGGTGTCCTTTGAGGCTGGGGGTGGCTTCCACCCTGTGCCTAACAGTCCAGTGTCTCCTACAGTGGAATAGCTCAGGCCCTCAAGTGCTGCACCCCCATGATTCTCATTCTCACTGATCACTGCTCCCTCAGCCCATGCTGGTTGAACACATCCCTGGCAGGATGCAGTGGGAGGGATGGAGGACACAGATCCTTGCCTTGTTCCTTACCTGGCCCTTCTCTGCATCGTCACCCTGGTAGCACTTGGGGCACTCCCAGCAGTTGGGGAGCTCATCATTGAGCAGTCCTTCCCCATCCATCTGCAATGAGAGGAGGGGGTCAGCAGCAGCCCAGCCCCACAGCAGAGCTCCCATTTCTTCAGCACATGCCCTGCTCACCTGCAGACAGCCAGGATGAACAATCTCGTTGCAGACACAGCACTCCATGAGCTTCTTCTCAAAGTCCTGCGAGTCCTCATTCTGATCCACCTCCCCACAAAGTGCACACGTGACCGAGTGAGGCAACCTGGGCTACAAAGGAAAGCAGGGCTGACACCAGGCCATGGTGGGGCAGCCTTCCTCCTTTCCTCCCCTACTACCTGAACCACGGAGAAGCAACCAGCTATCCCCCAGGAATCCAACTGGGACTCACCGCCAAGCACTGCCGGAGGACACAGGACTGCTTCATGCGGCCGGGCCCGCCAAACTTCTTCATGTCCCTGCAGTAGTGGCACATGCCACACTCGCCCTGCATGCAGGCCTTGCACTTCCGGCACCGCACCCGCCTCCGCCGGGCGCCCGACACGATGGGAGAGACCGTGGACCTGACGGGAGTGGGGCGCGGTGCTGGCTTCATGGTGTGTGGCTTGGTGATGGGGATGGTGGGCAGGCGCACCCGCAGCCGGGCCTGGAGCTTCAGCTGGCGACAGGGAGAGAGGGAACTGGGTGAGGAGAGGGGAGTGCTGTGTTCTGCTGGGATCTGGAAGGCTCTGAACCCTGGATCCTGCACTGTGACTGTGGACACTGTGCCGGAGAGCGGCTCTGCTCCCTCAGTGCTCCACAGCCAAAGGGGCCTGGATCAGGGCTGACCTGCCACTTCTCCTGGAGCACACTCCCTAACTCGTCACACCACCCCACACCCAGAGCTCCCCTTTCTCTCACCCCCTGCTAGGGCTCAAATGGGTCTGGAAAGGGCACAGCATCCATGCTTTCCTACCAAAACAAGGAATGACAAGGTCCACCCAGGCTGTCCTCTCTGTGCAGTTAGCAGAGTGACACAAAGGGACAGCTCTGGTCACTGTTTCCCAAGCTCAAGGCACACTGGGAACACCCACACCCTCCTTGTTTACAGTGCAGGTAGGACAGCACAGCTCTCCAGCTGTCACCCTGCATCCCATCAGCCCTGACAGGAAATCTGCTGGCTGCAGCATCCTTCTGGGATTGGCCATGCTGGGCTGTGCACCACAGCTGATGGGCCTGGGGAAGGGCAGGGTCCCAGGGATGGGGTTGGGGATGTGCCAGGCCTCTGAGTGCTGAACCCAAAGCATGCACACATCTCCAGGTCACTTCTCCCAGAAAAGCTGCCCAAGATGCTTGTGTTGCAAAGATCACTCTGGGTCCCCTGGGCAGGGCAGGCAAGCAGAGAGAGGCACCTCTGAAGGGCAATCCAAGAGGCTCATTTGTCT